CCGGAGACTCGGGGACGTCGGGCTGTGACGCTGGGGCCGGCGCGGGGACGAGGCCCCGGAGCTTCCCTGGAGCCTCCTGGCGCGGCGGGAGCGTAATGGGAAAGGCCGGAGTTAAAGACCCTCTAATTGAGGCCTTCGGAGCAGCAAGCGCAACACCGCAGCGCTCTGTTTAGGGGATTTTGTGTATCTCTACCATCAAGGCTACATTTGTCTGTAGGATTAATCACTTTTTGATCCAGAGGGTTTAAGACAGACAGCTTACTAGCAGTGTGCTGCATGGCTCTCCCAAGCTGGCAATTAGCTTTGTTTCTTCCTATTGTCTTGTTTATTATGCCCTGCTCCATCGCTTTTTTTTCTGACCAGCATGGTAATACACTCATTCATTTTAAAACCATTTTTAACTGTGCTTTTAGGAGACTTTTTAATGGGAGATTTTTAGTAAAAGCTCTATGCTGAGTACAGAAAATGAAAATCTCTTCCTGCTCAGCAGAGAGCAGGTTTGTACATAGATGACACTATAAAGAATTCCTCCGAGAAGCTCGAAGCCATCATTCTGCTCTATTTTAGGGCTTTATCTCAGGACTTGCTGAGGTTCTCCTGCTTGCTCAAAGGTCACCGGGAACCTGAATTATACCCATTCCCATTTAACTGGCACGTAAACTGGTTTCTTTGGGAGATAATTCATGCCTCACATGAAAGAAAAATATGTTCTGGGAGCTGCGTGTGTGCACGCATGCTCCGTTCCTTGCAGACACAATGCGATCGCCTGCACTTTAAAGGCCTGTTGTACAGTTTTCGTGCACATCGCTTTCTCCGGGATGCAGAGGAAGCTCAGTCCCGTGTCCCGTCGTGCAGCCTTTTCTCCCCAAATCCTCGTCCTTTGCAGACTAGTACGGGAGGTGGATTGTGTCTTTGCCTCCTTCTCGTTTGAATGTAGGGGATGGGCAGGAAACGGTCCTTGAGCTGCAGACCCAACGTGACCGTCCAGGTTGCAGCCGGGAGGCACCTTGGGTGCGGGTCTTGCAGGATTGCACGCTTTCTGGTGGGCCAACAAGACCTGGGGTCAGTTTTCTTCATTTCCAGATGCAGCTTTGCCCTGAATCTGCTGGGTGTCCTCGGTGGAGCCAGTTCAGCGCTGTGCACCCACTCCTCGCTCAGTAACACGGGGTAGTGGTGCTGAGCACCTCCGCAAGGTGCTCTGCTCAGTCCTGAGCACAAGCACAGTCTAAGGACATGACACTACAGGGCAGAACAGCACTTGGCTGGTGTAACTACGGCATCCTGAGCCAAAGCTTACGGAAGGACACGGGAGCTCTGCACTGACTTCAGCTGGGTTTGGATCAGGTGTTAAAAGCTGTAAAATTTTTCAGGCCTTGTGACTTCCCCTGCGCAAAGGCGGGCGGGGGCGCCGCCCCCAGCCGCTCTCCCCTGCCGCAGGCAGTTTGTCTGCCGTTTGCTTCGCTCCTCTTTCACTAAACGTTACCTTTTGTCCTACGGCCCAGGCATTTGGCTGAACCACCCCGGCAAACGTTCTCAGGTTTTTAAAATATTCAGTATTAAAGAGATCAGGCCAGATGTGCGCGGCTGCCTTCATCACTCTCGGCCGCGTACTCTGTGTTGAAACGATTATTGACATCAGCCGGCGAAAGGCAGCTGATGAAACGCTCTCTCCCCGCCTGATGAGCTATCCATCCGCCCGTGCCCTGCGCAGAGTGCACAGGTTTTGGTTTTGAATGATATATTGCTGTGTCACTGTGGCTTATGTGCTGCTTCAACGTACGCTGGTGAGTGATAGAGAGTATGCGTTAAACAACCTCATCGCGACCGGCGCTGTATTTTCTCCCCTCCAGCTCGGGGGGGGCCGCAGGCAGCCCAGCAAGGCTCTCAGGACTACCGCAAGGAAGCGCTGCGGGGAGAGCTGGCCCTGGAGGCTCGACCCGGTCCGGGGAGGACGGGTGCATCCTTGGGCTAATCCGGGCAGGGGAGACTCGGGTGCTGGTAGCGCGACCCTGCGGCGGCGCTGAGCGTCCGTAAGTCCCGCCGACCCC